CTCTTTCTTCTTTAAAAAGTTTACTCTGGAAAGGTGTGAGAAGATCTAATAATGTAGCCATTTTCCATTGAGTGCTTATCAGGACAGCAAGAAGAAGAGAGGAAGCTCTAAGCCAAAGCACAAAAATAGCGAGAGATCTTTATGAAACAGACTGCTTTTATCACTCTAGCAGAGTTCCCTCTTCGGTTCTGAAATAAAACTTTGCTCTCTTTCTGTGCTTCTTTATGGCTGCCACTGAGGCACGGGCAGGCTCCCTGAGGCACCATGGATGTACCCCTACAACCAGCAGCTTTTTGAACATTTAACTCTGAATCATTAATGACGAGCAAGATGGCCAATTACACTTCATGATGTTTATACAAGGGATGCTCTGCAATGGTATGTACTAGCATCCTATCAGATGACACAGTACAACCTTTACTAATTTCTAAGAATTGTTACACAGTGTACCATATGTGCTAGTTTTTAGTGAGCATCTGCCTCCACTGTGTCTCAGCTTCTCTGCCAGTTGGCTAGTACTCTGCACAGTGACATATACTACGAAGAAAATTAAGTTTCCAGTGTCAAGCATTTAAAGTAAGAAATGGCACCCTTGGGAGGAGGTATCACAATTACTTTTCTTTTATTATTATTTTTAAAGTAATAAAGCAATTTGAGAATTACACCTTACATGGAAATTTACATCCTGAAAAGCCAGAATTTTGAGCAGTTGAAAAGGACTCTTCCTTCTGGAAGAGCAGCAGCTCACCTGTAGGGCACCTGGGATTTATGAGCTAGTCAGGCCAAAATGTAGAACCTAGCCTTATGTGTCAGGTATGTCAGCAACACAAACCTCAACTAAAAAAAGGCAAATGAAACAACACAATGTTCTTGAAGATTTCCCTCAACCTGAGGGGCCCACAGCTGTCTGACTAAGGCCCCAGAAAGGCCTGAGCATGGACAAGTGTGTTGAGTCAGTGTGTGCCAATGCTCGGTTCCAGGGGAGCCCCTGTTACATAGAACAGTCTGTCTCATCTGAGCAAAGAGCTGTGCCAAGAGCCATTGGAAGGTCTGGAAGATTAGTCCACTGCCTAGAAGGTCAATCGGCTTTAAATTCCCTCAAGTTTGCGTTTCCCTGAGCTAGTAAGGAGTAAACCAAGAATTCTCTTAATGAAAATAGAAGCCTTTTACCATTGAAAAATGAGAAGACAGTCTTAACTATAGATCTTACAGTACACATGAAGAGGACACACTAAATACAACCTAGATAAGACATCAGACATTTTCTCTTCCCAAATGACTGTAGAGGAAAGCACCCAGAAGTCTCACTGAACTGAAAGCCGCTTTAAATTACCTTATCAAGGGCTGCCTCCATCTTAGGTATTTTTTCTTTCAGACGTTTGTCTTGTGATCTCAGGATCTCCAGTTCCCCAGCAATCTTACTATTTTCTACCGTAATACAGCTCAATTCTTGACTTAGTTTACTATTTTCTTCTCTGAGGTAATGCTTCTCCTGAATTTAAGAAGAGGACAACAAAGTACGAGTCACAAATTTATAACTACCTACATTATACATATTTGCTTTCTGCAAATTTTTTTCTCTTTGAAAGATCTGAGTTGACTCTTTCAGAAGCTTAGCTACTGCATCTTGCAGAAAGATGAGGTTTTGCAACAAGAATACAGGTCTTATAACAAAAAGTACAATTGGGCCAGTCCTGATGAAACAACACCTCAGATTTTAGATCCATTTTGAAACTGGAATTTTTAGCTTCAGGATCCACAGGACCCAAAGCCAGCGAAGGAGGAGGACAGGTTATAGTGAACAGATATAAATGACCATTCAGTAAACTCCAGCTATTGCTGACTGACTGATTTGTCACAGAAAAGGCTAGAAAGACCTCAGTATGCTACACAGATCCTGATATACACAGTTTACAACCAGAACTCCAAAGGAACACCTCAGAAAACAAAGAGGGGAAGTGCTGTGGGCCAAATTCAGAAGAATACAGAATGCATTAGTTGACATTTTTTAAAAGAACTGCCATGTAAGAGCCTGATTCTCATTGAAACTAGTACTGTTCTTCCATGGAGAACAAATAGATATTAAAACTTCCCTCTACACAGAGGCTAATGTATGTGGTGGAGATAGTCCCTGATACATGCTAGCGGGAAGACAGGGAAAGTGCCCTTTACAACAAGTTAAAATTCTCTTCGGTCCTTCTTGGGCCAATTGTGCTTTTGGTCACACATTTCTACAAAGAAAAATTTCTCTAAATACAATTCAATACTTTTACACGGAGCTCATGTGACCTTAGCTGCATTTGTCATTGCCTCTTCCAAGAATTTAATCTTGCTCTGTAATGCATCTATCTTTCCTCTCTTGGCTGTGATCTGCTTCTGCATTCGCACTGCAACTTTCATAGCTGTAAAAGACAAGGTTAATGCTCAATGAACAACACTGATGATGTATTCTGAGCTCTGACAAAGGACTCTGGAAGTTAGTTATCAGCAGTATGTTAGAATAAGTAAGTTGAACCAGTTTCCCATAGAAACTTATGTATGCAAACCACCCATTAGAATCAGCTGGACTTTTGTCCAAGGTAGTGGCACCAGACCCATCACACACACAAGACAAGAAGACAGCACTCCCTAGAAATATGCATAAAGATCGGTTTCAGTTTCACAGTTTGTAGTAAATGGTAAACTAAAAATATGCTGTCATCTGCAATATTGTTTCTTTATTTCAAAAAATATCTGGAATATTATTATAGCATCTATTGAGGGATCAATACTTACAAAAATCCTCTTCTTAAAAAGAAAAACGTGATTTTTGGGAAGTTCAATCCATAATTACCTTTGCCATCAGATCCCTCCATAGTCTTTAGAGCAGTCCTGGTCTGTTCCAGTTCAGCTTGGGCAGATTTCAATTGCATTTTCAGTCTGTTTGCAGAGTTTTCCATCTCCTTGATTTTATCCTGGTAATCCCTCTTCAAATCTTCAAATCCCTCTGGTGAGAGTAAGTAAAGATTGAAATTATAGTGACAAAAAATTATCATTCCTCTAGACTCAGATTACTGATCTGTCGCCTACTCTCTTTAAAGGGGTATTAGATATGCAGATAGCTAAGACATAGAGCAAATAACATCCACTGCTAACAAATGCACAACTAGTAGCTCATTGTCCTGCATGTCAGCAAAAGCTTCTGTTTTGCCAGAACCAAATGTGTTCTTTGGTTGCTCGCCAAAGCAACAGTTCAAGAAAGTGATATAAATCCACGCTTCTGAGTTCCTGCTGCTAGAACCAACAGCGTATTGTGAAAGTTAAAGTTATTAGTGAGAGACACCATTTTGCCCTGGGCATTCTTCTCTGCAGCCACACTTATGTCTGAACTGATCTAATTTGTCAAGCATTCCCCCACAACTCTGCTTCTCAGCTCTGTTTATTCTCTCTCTTCAACTCCTCCTATGTCACCCATACTGCTACAAGCCAGCCAGCAGTGTGCTCAGACTCTACCAACAGCTTGGCCCTAATTCCTCTGTGGTCATTCACTCCGGTAAGCCTGTCTTAAAGCTCATTCATCCTGGTAGCATCACAAACCTAAGGCAGACCTTCCATGTAAAATCACAGTATCAGTTTAATTCTTACAAAACCTAATGAGTTTAGAAGTATAGCTGAGTTGTGAGGAAACAAATGTTACCAATGGGTATTTTAAGAGTACAGGGGTGTGTAGAAAGCAAAGCATGTGAACAGTATCACCTGGCTAGCCGCAGTGCAGATTTAACAGAGGATCTCCCTAAATTTTGGTGATTGCCTAGGGTTGAGTCCCTAATTTTATTTTTTTTAATTAAATATTATCTTGATCACTTCCCCCACACATTAGTTGTGAAAACAATGGCGTTAGAACATAAACTTTTAAATAACGCTATAGCAGAACTACAACAAAATAGAAACAAAGTTCCACTGTAATTTGCCAATAGATGGTTAATGGGATCCACTAGCACTTTTAAGTAACAGTCAGGAAAAAGTGGTCAAGTTTCTATTCTGATTTACTAGATCCGCTTCTTCGGTCTCCAGAGTCAGGTGGTTTAAATATTTTTGCTCAGGGTAGTGAGAAACTGCCATGAAGATTGCATTCCCATCATTCTGTGCCAGAACCCCAAAACATGACATAGCCCTCTGAAACAATCTGACCACCCCGTGCTGGCAGGGAACCTTCTGCTGTACCAGCAGCCATATTTGGATTCAGCAAGCAAGCTACTCTTTTATTTTTAACATCAGCCCAATTTAGCAGCTATCGGAGCTGGGCTATTGAGGCTCCCTACCTGCAAAGCCAGCTAGCTCACTCCAGCTGGCTTGGAGTTCATTCATTAGCTGATCTTTTTCCAGTTTCATATTATTAAGCGCATGGAGCCTCTCAGCACATTTGTTAACCAGTTTAAGCTTTTCCAGTTCCAGCTCACTCAGTCTGGCCTCCATTTCATGTATTCTGGCTTCTTTCTCAGCCTTTGTAATCTACTTACATAAAAAACAATAGTAACTATGTGTAATATACATAATTATACAAAATAACCACAAAGACATGCAGACATCATCATTACTTGAAATCTCAGTTGTCAGAGGCAGTTTGGGGGCAAGAATGAAAAACAGAGTAAACCAGACAAATTACTTTTGTGAAAATTGTTAATCCAGGCAAAAGGGATATGCTAGCATCTGATCTGGTGGCTTTACAGCATGTTTAACCTTAGCAGGTGTATGATATGAAAATGATTCCCATCCTCTTGTAGCAGTACCTCCATATTCACTCCTAATGCTCAACTGTCTTCTCACAGAAGAGGATGAAATTCCCTATCTGGAGAGAATTTTTTCTGCAGATGGTGACCTGCATAAGACTACCGTATCCTGCAATTCTTGTCTGAGAAACAACCGGTTATAAACAGGGTCCTCAGTTTGGAATTCTGAGTGCTCACTGCTATTTCTCAGTAACACTTTGTATTTCTGGTTCTGTTACTGGTGTGGACAACTCTATCACCAAGGTCAGCGTGCTATATTCCAGCCTTCACAAGCCTTTTGGCAAGTGCTTTTCACCAGTGAATTATTCATTTTTGATGGCCATGTGATAATACTATCCCTCTCTGCCCACTAGCTCTTCTAGTGCTGTTAAATTGAAGGTGCATTGTCTGACCTGCTTTAAAACCACAGTATTAGCACATTAAAACACAGATTTAAACACAGGAAAGATTTGCAGTCTCAGAGACATAAATACAGCACCATTTGCACACCTTAAGTTCTTCTACTTTGAGTTTCCAGTCATTTATTTCTTTTATAAGCTGCGATTTCTCAACTTCCATTGCTCCAGCAGTTCGACTGTGCTGGCTTACAATCTGGGACATGTTATCAATTTGCTTTTGGAAGACCTCAATAATCCTTTCCTTCTCTAACACCCGCAGTTTCAGTGTTTCACACTCTGACTGCACATTGTATAAACGGTCCTCTTCATTCTTTAGATGCTGGAGCTCCTGCATCCTACTGCCAAGTTGTAAATGTAACTTCTCGATTTCCTTATTGGTAACCTCTAGGGCTCGCTCTTTCTCCTGCACACAGGCCCTGAGATTTGATAGAGTTTTCTCAGCAGTCTCCAAATGCACCTGTTTGGTTGCAAGATCTTCTTTAACTTTATGGAGTGCTTCCTTGCTTGACTCCAGTTGGACAGTCAAAGAGGAGATTCTTCCAATGCTTTCATTTTTTTCCTTAATTGCAGACATCTGAATAACAGCAATACAAGGATCAATGAAGAGAAATGTTTATTTCTACCTTTAGAACTTCCTGTTACATTTCTTGTTTTCTATAGTTCATCTTGATCTAATTTTCCTGTAAAACTCAGTTGTTCAGCATGGTCTGGTCTACAATAACTGTGTGATTCTTCCAGTTTTCTTTCCTCTTTCTCCATTTTAGTAAATGAAGTATTGCTTAGAATATTGGGGTTTTAATCATAAAAAAGGAAAAATGTAAACTGATGTAAAAAAATTAATAAACCAGCAATGGTAGTATAAAATTTAGAGCAGTTGAGGTTAAAGAATTTTAAGTGTTAAAACTCAACTGACTGCACTGTAAGTTGGGGGAAAAAAAGTCTGTACATGCGTAATTTATTACTGATTTTATTCCTGCAGGCAGCAGTGTGCACCATTTAAAGCACAAAGTACTGACACTCAGGAACTGCTAATAGTACAAAATAGGAACAGAAGAAAAGAATGAACTTCCTGGTGGGAGAATTTTAAAGGAAAAATAATGGATTGAGAAAATGTAGAATGATGTGTGAGGTAGCACAAGCCTGTGGTTTGGTAGAAAATAAAGGAATTAACTTGGTCTTTACTCATAATGCAAAGTAGGTTACCTAATTACAGCTCATTTTTGAGGGGCTGAAGTCTCGAAGAAAGATGTACTACAAGTCAGTGTCTAGGAATCTACTTTGTCAGAAGCAATTCTTTCTGACATAGCACTGCATTCAGCTTAGGGTTATAAACACAAACTTCATGATGTTTTCATTAAGCACTACATAAAGTAAAGCATTATGAAGGCCTTTAATTTGCTAATTATTCTTACAGAACTGCTCACCACTGAAAACACTACCTTCAGTAGATTGTTTGTTATGTCTGGCAGCAGCAAACTTTCTGGAAATTTACAAAATGATGTTTTGGAGATTTACAGTCAAAAATCAAACACACCATCAGCAGAACATTCATTTCCTCCTAAGGCTTGTATGTCAAAAATTACAAATAATGCTTCTACTTCCTCATCAGTAAAGAGAAATGAAGGCTGGACAGGCCAGATCAATAGAAAAAAATGCAAATTCTGACTGTCATCTATTTGCATCTTTGGAAGGAAAATTTTGGCAGTTGAGCTCCAGAGGCCTCCCAACCATGGTAACCAGAGCTGCAGCATTGCTACCTGAAGTACAGCCCCAAGTCAGTGCACTTTCTATCCTGAACACTATCACGCTGCAGTTGCTCACCAACCTGGCACTCCATTTGTCTGTGACAGTCAGTCCTCATTTCCTTCACTGTGTTCTCCATGCGCTGCAGCTGCATAGTTTTGTTGTCTAATTCTCTCCTTAGATGGTCAATGGTGATGCTGTTGTCTGTGTTGCGATCCCAAAATCGCTTGTTCTGCTCTTTTTCTAGACTTAGTTCTACCTCTTTTTTATGAAGTTCAGTCTACAAGAAATTAAAGTCATCTCCCTCCTTGAATCACATGTAGGATTTTTTTGTTCTTTCTCTTAACATTAGCAACATTCAATTACACAGTTACATATCTCAACAGGGACTACTGCATGGATTTACACTTAGCAGAAGACAGGAATATTGGCTAACTAGTCTGACACCTCCTACATGTTTTCTTCCAACAAAACAGTAACTTTCAACTTTATATATTGCTGTGCAATTATTCTGAAGCATGTAACACCTCAACGCTGAAGTATTTCATGTCATTTATATCTATCCCCAAACCAGTATAAGCTAAAAAATGGAAGATTATACTGTGTCAACAAACCCACAGAAATGGTAAAACAATGTCCTTCCTGCTCTGCTTTATAGTGCAAGTACACCACAGCTCCACAGGCTTGACCTGCACATCCCTGCCATGCCATGCGCAGACTTTTTGCATCAGAGACTATCAGCTCTGCTAAACTTCATGGCACTCCTGTGACCTGAACTTTCCCTTTCCAATAGTATAAAGGGGAAGGATACCTAGATCCTCATGACCTGTAATCTACGCTGGATTTGGATCCATCAAGCATTTCTGTGTGGGTCAGCTCCACTATTTTTTAAAGGGAGAACGACTGTTTTCAGGCCATTTTCTAACGAAAACATGAATTATCTTTCACCAAAAATAAGAGAGAATTTAAGGATATTCAAATTGTTTATAAAACTGGAATCCAAAGCAGTGAAATAAGTGAAAGATGCAGCTGACATGATATGGAAATGGGATATAAAATGCTGCAGTTAGTGACATGGCAGAGATTCTGTTGTGGGGCTGTTAAGTTGTTCTCTCCATTTGTCTGCAGTTAATTCCCTGCTGCACTACTTGCGAAAAAAGTTGGTTTTCGGGGAGAAGCATGGTTAAAAAAAGTTTGTCAAGACTAATGTTTTCTAATGGGATTAAGAAATGGTTTGAATACACAGGTGCTGGCCAGCTTCTCTTTTTTGCCTATATTATATGCTGCTGATAAGAAGCCTTTGGATTTCAATACATGTTGAAGATTCTTAATTCACATTGGGGCATCTCTGGGCACCTGAACGCTTCTCAAGAGCTGCTGCAATCTCTATGTTCTCCCATCCCTGCACTTACCCACAGTTACCAATGAATTTTTCTGGGCAGTATGACTTAAATAAGAAGCTATTTTTACTGCCTGTTTTTTGCTGATATATTCTTCAGTGGTATAGTGGAACAATTTTCTTGTCCTGCATGTGCAAGTGATGTCTGCAGTGCAAAATCACTTTATGTATTTCCAGAAGGCATCATTTATGGTATGCTCTCAATACATTCAGCAAAACTATTTTGTGTTCAGTAAGTTTTGCAAAGGTACTTTGTGATAGAGAAAGATAACTTGTTCTTAAAAATAATACAAACAGAGTCAAGGATAATGTAATTTATCTTATTGTTCACACAGTTTTTCTGAAGCAACCCCTTATCAAAAGACTTTCCTTACGTACCCAGAACATTTCAAATATCCACCTATACAGTTTCATTGGCACTAATGCTAACACACAAATCCATACACACCTTGTCTTCATATATTCTCTTAGCTTCTTGTAATTCAGAACTCAGCTGAGAAACGGTAGATTCCAGGTGACTAACCTGATGCACATGAGCTGCATTTTGGTTTCTTGTTTGTTCTCTAAGAAAAGTTTTTGGTGGAGAAATTAGAAACTGTAAAAACCATGAAAGCATGAAACATTTGTTGTTATTTCCACTGCAATCAGTATGACCACTGAAACTTACTGCTTAGAAGTATGATTATCATTCACAGTGGGATCACATAAAAATTGTACCTTCTTACCGGTTAGATTTGCTCTGATCTCTCTCTCACATAAAAATACATAAATTGAAATCTTGATGCTTTTTATTTCTGGTAATAACTCATTTATTCTCAAGCAAGTTCTAACAAAGCTAAGTCTGCGTTCAGATGCACCCCAGCTATTCCACAAGCGGAACCGAGAAGCATTTTGCTATCAGCTATTCAGTCTCAACTACGCAAGTCAGACACAAATGCATACTGATACTTAAATCTCATCGTAAGTTTGCAACACCGCATGGCACGTCCTCATTGTTTTAACTAATACACTGAGCGCTGATTTCTGAGTCATCAAGTGGCTGGTGAGAATTAAATGCCTTTTTATTCTCACTCAATCGTTACCAAAGTTAACAGTACCAACACAGCTATTTATCCCAAATGAAAATTACCCTTTCTTTAAAATTACCGTTCATTACCATTTGTACATATATGCAAACAACCCAACTGTTTATGCATTCTTGTTTGCGATTCAACTGATAATGCTGCTGGAAATTAATTTTTTATCTGAGTCCACAGAACATGTAGAAGGAAAAAGTCATGGAGCAATGCAGCCACCTAAAACTGCCCTCAGCCCTAGCTCTTGGCTTACTACGCTTTCATCCCTTAACTCTAGCCACGTACTCCACAGAAACTGTTCACAACTCATGTAACAGAGCTTCATCATTCCAAAAGCTAGTGGCAAGAGCAGAGGTGATGGCTCCAGCCAGCATGAACTTCCATTGACTTTGCTGGAACCATAGCAGTCTGAGAAGAGAATCAGCTTGACTCTCCCGATTCTCAGAGTCTGTCTAAGGCATGGCTACTTTGCCTCTTTGCATAGCATGGTTTCATGTTTGTTTTTTGTTTTTTCCCTTTTTTGCTTCATTCCGTAATTTATGCAAGGAGTGCTAACTCTTTAGACAAAGACGCTAAGAAACCAAAAGCATAGGGTAGAGAGCAGAGTATACTAGCAGCATAAGCTCTCTCTCAAATTAAGGTTACTCTTAACATTTTCTATACTATAACCAAAAAACATACTGAATGATCTCCCTCTGCTATTTGCATAGCTGTGTGCACTGTTAGCTTTATCAGTTAATGCTGCCACCTCCTGTTCATGCTCACTTATTAGTTGCTCAATCCTGTTTCGAAAAGAAAATACTGATTATAATATTAGTCTCAGCAAACAGTAATTTCTCCACTGAAGAGGTAATGATATTTTTCAGTATTCAGAAATGTAATAATTTTGATGTTCTATTGTGAATGAAGTATTATGTATTGAGTTATTGACCCTTTTATTTTGAACAGGTGACACACTAATTCAGAGGGATAGCTGGGGAAATTAGGGCTTCGTGAACAAGGAAGGACAAAGCTCTCAGTGAAATTAGTAAGAAAAAGCTGATGTAACCACTGAAGTGATTACTTTCAATCTCTTCTTTTCATGGTGGAACTAGTCTCCCAACAAATTCTAGATGTCCACCTAAACGACCAATGACTCTTACAAAAGTAAGGTGTACAGATTCCTCCAAAATATTATTTTTTTGAGGCATCGCATAAAACAGGAAATTGTCAGCATGGAAGAAAAACACAGCAGAAAGTCAAGAGCAAATAAATATCTGGAATGAGACAATTATTAAGTCCTCAAAACCACTGCTTGCTGCCCCCAGCTACTTCCCCCCGACCCCCAATATCATCATCAGATAAGAATTATCTGCGGAACATCTGAAAAAATGTCTATTTAATGAAAAAATAAATGGAGAACAGGTACCTATTTTGATGTTGCTGAAGCACAAGTTGGTTTTGGGTCTGTGAATCTTTTTTCAATGACTCAAGTTCTTCTTCCACCTATTGTAAACAGATGACAATGCTAACCCCTGAAGAAAAGACCGTCTAAACAGTAGTTTACAAAGTTTAATTTCCTTCCATTTGCTTCTACCTTGAGCTGTGAAATGTGCACAATACAGGTTAAATTCCAGCAAGGAACCCAATCTCAAGTTGGAGACAGTGTAAAAGGCTGGATTATCAGCACCTGCCATCTAAACTACAAAGTAGCATTTGTACCTCTTTATGCCATAGCTGTTTCCTTAGGCCAGTTTAAATCGCAGGTCATGGAGTTTTCAAAAATATTTTCTAAAAAAAAAGAACAGAGAGTGTCGGAAGGAAAAGTAGCACTTTCTTCACATACCAGGACAACCTTTTCTTTGAGGTATGACATCTCTGAGTCTAAATCTTGCAGGATGTCAGCAAATGCTGTGCTCAGGTTGTGGATGTGTACGCTAGTAATATTCTCACGCCTATAGAGTTTCTTGCCCGTGCTGTCTTTGTAGTCCATTAGGATGTCACGTAGTTCCGGAAGTACTTCCTCGTGGCTGCGGACCATCTTTTTCAGCTGCTCAGTTTGGCTGTCAGCTTTCCTCAGCATCTCCTCCTGCAGCTGGTTGGCAGCTTTCAGCTCCTGAATAGTATTTTTTAGCTGTATTTTTACATTCTCTTGGCTCTGGGATTCCTTTTGTCTGAATTTGGAAACCAAAGAAATAATTTACAAATTAGGATTCATAATATGGATTTTTATCCTGACTAACAGGTATAATACTTATGTTGATTAACTGCTGGTTTTTACAAGTACATAATAAGCTGTTCTCTAAACCAAGGGGCCATAGTCTCATTGTCGTCATTCCTGAGGGCAAGTTTCTCACTTAGGAGATCTGGTGTACCTCTCAAAGCCCATATATATGCTCTCCATAATACATCTGTCTTGCCCATCATACCTAGTATCCTGAAGTGCATCTATTTCCAATTGCAATTCCATCAGCTTGGTCTCCAAATCAGCAATGATCAGTCTTAAATTGATTTTCTGTTGCTCATGTAGCTCAGCGGTCTAAAGGAAGGAAAAAGAAAAAACAACCACCAAGCTAAACCAACTGAAATACTGAATAGATAACCTAAAAGAGTGAAGCTGAGAGCAGCATGGGTATAGGAATTAAGGGTTTTGGCTTGGGTTTTTTGTTTGGTTGGTTTGAGGGGGTTTTTTTGTTGCCCTTTTTAAAAACTATTTCTTAGTTAACTGGCTAGTCACACTGTGCTGCAGTGGACTGACTATGCATGGAACATGGTTACAAAGATCATGCCAACAACATTACTACCCATTGCCTATTTCTGTCTGTCAAATGGCATGTAGGAATCACGATGGCCAAGTACAATATACAGCAGCCAAGAGGCTGCTCAAAATAGCACTGGTGAAACTTTCCAAAGACTCAGCAATGACAAAAACAACAAGAGTTTATCTATAAGCTACCCCAAATTTGCAACTCACTTCATTCGGCCTTTTCTGCTCGTCTCTACCTTTCTGCGAGTATTCTTCCAGAATGTTTTCCACGTGTTCTTTGTCAGCACCATTCACGTTTTTTTTCTCAGAATCAGTATGTATTACACATTTGGAACACAAGACACTATTGGGTGGACTGCTACCAGTACTAGATGAGGTAGAGCTTTCCATCACTGTGCTGGGAATGGAAGAAACTAGAACATTCTGGTTCCCAAGAAGGGGGCTAGCAGCACCTGAAAGGCAGATAAATTTAAGTGTTGAAACAAGGGTCATTACAGGAGAATAAACCATCATCTGTACAAACTGGGCATTAGTGCCTCTCAGTGCCTATCAACAGTCAAACCTAGGAATCGTCTTCTCTAAGGACAACAAACCCAGCCAACTCCAGAGTTGCACACTGGGTGGGGAATGCCAGTGTGTTCAGACGAGAACACTTCAACACTCCTCTGCCTTTACTTTGGGCTTGTGTCAAGGAGAGCTGTTCAAGATGCAGGGCCTGAAGAAGATTCACCTTGAAATATGAAACATGAACTCAGGAGCACCCTTCTAAATCACATAATGGTCTGCAATGTTTATAATGATTTACTCCCAAATGTTGTTCTGAAATCTGTCTTAATACTTGCCCACACTAGGCATATTGCCACTTGGTAAAGATTCCTCACAACTCAAAGAATGTATCATTGATTCCACTGGGAATTTGGTGGTTTCTTCGTGGAGTTTCAGTTTGTCTTTCCAGTGCCTCCCCGCAGAAGAGCGCACAGAAACATTTGCTGAAAAGGCAGGACTGAATACAGAAGAGTATCGAATATCCAACTGCACTGCACCATGAATGCAACCTGAAATGAATTAACTGGAAAGAGAAGTGAAACCAAAGGATTTATTTGGTAATGCCATCGTATCTTCCTGGTTTGCACTTCTATTTGGCAACACAGTGCCACATCTTCAACTGCTGCAGCTCCACTGTAGTCAACTGAACTATCCTGTTTTGTCACTAGCAGGCATAATGTATACAAGTCCAAACAAGTAAAATAACACTTCAAACAAACAGAACTAAATTGGTGTATCTTCTGAAAAGGGATTTCCTTTTATTTCCATTTTTTTTTCTCCTAGCTGGCCAGTAAAATGCTACCTTACTGACACAAAACTGTAACTGTACGGTCAATGAAACCCACAGAAATCGTTCAAATACTTCATTTGCAGGCATAGTAAGAAACATCTCAGAAAACCTGTGGAATCAGAGAAGTGTTTGGTTATATAAAACCTCAAGCACAGAAGGAAACCTGTGCTGATTCACACCACCTTATTTTATTGGAGTTGATCAGGCAACAGGTCATTCGCTATATTCCTGAGAGTGGTGGTGGTAGGGGAATGTGTGTGTGCAAAGAAAGTAGACAGATAAGGGGGGAAAAAAAAAAGGCAAAATGAATTTTTCTGACCAAAAGAGAAAGAAATCCAGTCTACGCGGCAGTAATGGGCAAGTTTTGGCAGCTCACCTATAAGCTGTAAATAGAAGCAAGCTAAGAGGAACATGAAGAAAAAATAGTTGAGGGACAAAGAGGAATTTGAAATTATAGAAAAATATTTTAAGTGGCAAGTCTACAGATGAGGGAGGAATATGAGATCAGGAAGGAGAGCAGCTCCCTGTCATTTAGCATCAGTACTGTTGTGTGTACATAGCAGCACTGTGACATTCACAAATGACCAATTATAGCACGCACAGTTGATTTCTGCCCACGCAGCACTTTTTTTCCACAATGCAACAAGTCCCTGTGTCTGTGCACTGCACTTGTTACACTACCTCTCTGCATTTTTATTAACGCATCCTGATAAATCTGGATTTTCATTCTATAATGTTACTGATAAAAAAGATGAGAAGACACAGATGCAAGCAGAGCTGCAGAGCATGGGGAAAAAGCATCCTGAGGAGTCTGTCAGCCTGTAAGTAGGAAGCAGGAGCATCAGCTACAGGCAAGGGTGGAGGTTCCATCAACACTGCCCTCTTATTGTGGAGTATAACCTAAATGCATAAACATGTTAAAAGAATGACTAGACAATTCTCCAGAACTAATAAATTTGAGAGCTGGGACAGACATCCAGATTCAGTAAGTCCTTACATTCTGATTCCTTGGACACTGAGATATACTAAGCAAAAATATCACTTTCCCTGACCATTTTTCTATGTGTCTGCCACTACACACTGTTGCAATAAGCACAATGGTGAGATGACACTTTGGTTTGATCAATCAGAGTCTGAGTTAATCAGTAAACCAAAGCTTTAGAAAGAAAAATACCATCCCCATTCTTCTCAGTTGGCCATTAATTTTCAAATGTATTAATGATCCTTCCTTGGGAGAAACTTTCAACTATTATGCACACAACTGTATATAAAAATCACTAAATCCAAGCACCACCTCCAGGGGTTTGGGGGGGGTGGGGGGGGCAGGGATCACCCAAAACAGTAAAATCACTGAATTTCACAAGTATCACTTTTCCAGTGCTGAATGATTCTGAATCTAACATTAGGCAGAATCCTGGACCCCTGCAAATTCATTATCAAAGGGCAGTACTATACCCTGCTATTTGTGCAGAAAACCCATTGCCAGCAGAAAGAACTCATTCCGCCGTGGAGAGAAATTAAGCTATTACACTGGTGCAATTTGTGTACTAGGATAATTCAACTTCACCGCAGAGTGCCTTGGACACCCATATCCTTAAATTTTGTCTTCACATCTTTTCTGTCACATTAGTATAACAGACTACACCTCAGGAATCTGCTGGCTTCCATTTTCCGTGAGTGTGCTGTTTACTGTAATGACAGATAGCAGACACAGGAATTTCTCTAATAACAAACAAAACCTGTATGCTACCTTAATTCCTGGATATTCTCGATCATGGTAACAGCACCTCTGAAGAAATGATGTGTCTTTATTTTCTGATAGATTAAGAATCAACTTCATGTAACAAAAAATGAATTTTGCCCATGTAATTTTAATACTGCAGGAGGAATTAAAGGATATTGAGGGGGACAGTTTCTCTCCTTTTAAAAATCTTACGTTTGGTCAGGATGAACACAGATGCAAGCTTTTGTAAGTACTTGCCAGCATCGACTGGTAACTTCTGCAACAATAATTAAGTAGCAAATCATATACACTACCACTTCCCTATGATGTTCCCAGATACAGAATTTTTCTACAAGAAATACTGAGGACAAGATTTCTGTAAGTGTTTGCCTTGATCTCATCTACAAATGCTGTCGATCCCAATCTGCCTGATTAAAGCCCAATGGACTTTTTCTCACAAAAATGCTTTCTGAGGTATGCCCAAAAGAAAAGAAAAATGGAAGTCTGGGGCGAGCCCAAGGTAGGCAAGTCTACGCTTGTACAACTTCAGGTTTGGAAGTGTGATCGCTATTAACAGCGCCCGGGGAACAAGTCTGTGAAACCTTTTTCCTCAGAGGGGGAAAAAAAAAAAAAAAAGAAAGAAAAAGGAAAAATGATGAACTTCTTACCCAGGGGTAGCTTTGAGCCAGATGGTATTTGATGGGGTTTTACTTGCATTATTTGGATTTTTGTGGGTGACTGGTCCTCCGGCAGACATGGGACTACATTGTGAGACAAGAGGTAGCTGCAGTAGCAGTTTCCATACCATGGATAATTTGATACCTTCGATATACCCATTTGACTAAAAAGACCAGCGTGGGTGCTTCCTGAGGGCCCGTAATGGAGGAAAGCGGAGCCCTTTATCCCAGACCCCAATGCCGAGTACCAGAAAAGCTTCCTTAACGTGAAAACACTGCCTTCAACCCTCACGTAGCAGCCCCTGAAATTTCAGCTGCGCCAC